CCCCAGCCATATTTTATACAGTCTAGAGTTCAAATTTTAGCATTGATCTTAAAGTGCCACTTTGGCTAACAGAGCTTGCACTGCTGGCACGGTTGTGGACTGTTAGTCTTGTTAATGCAGCTTTTGTAGTTTCACTAAAATTACAGAAGGTAAAGTATCAGGCTAGTTGACCTCACAGGGAAGTGTACGGTTAGACTTGGTAGCTGCTGTATTTGGAGCTGTTTAAAGCAGAAAGGAAATGTGATGTATAGTTCATCCTGCCGGAGGTGGCAACAAGCAGCAGCCGCTGTGTGTGTTTGGACCTTTGGAGCTGCCTTTTTTCATTAGACTGATGGCCCTGGGCTTTGTGTCTTTGCTGGATTGAAATCTGAATTGGTTTGTCCACCTTTTCTTCTGCATCCCTTCTCCATGCTTGACTCCTGCAGCTGCTGTTTGTCATTTAAATAACAAATGCTGGTGGTTCCCTGATTTAGTGAGGGGTGCAGGCCCCTGATGTATATTAATATTGCTGCACAGTGCACTGTACCAGGGTCCATCATTCATTTGGATAAAAGAGGTGGAATTTAAAACCAGCAAGTGCTTTACGTGGATACAGGTTGCATTCATTTATTGCACTGAGTGATGGAACGGCCAGCAACTCCGTCCTTCACCTCCCCAACGCTGAACCACTTCCCATAAAAGTAAAAAAGGATTCACCCCTGCCCCTTACGAACCCCTCATATTTAGCAGGGGGAACGAGGGGCATCCCTCAGTTTCTTGACAATTAATAGATTCACAGTTTTATGTAAAGGTAGTAAAAGGGGAATGCATGATTTTTAATCTTAAATCTGTTTTTCATGAACAAATCTAATCTAATCTTACCTGTGTGGAAAATGTAACCACCAAAAAAGCAGTGATTGCTGTTTATTACTGTAAATAGTGTACATTTCCTTCTTTAATTCTTTTTTTTTTCTCCGAAGTGACAAAAAATGACCTGTTTTGTAAATTGCATAATAGAAGAGTCCCTAACTGGCACATCCCCCCACAGCCCTGTTCAGCGTGTTTTCCTGGTTCTTGAGTCTAGTGCCCCCTGTCCAGCATGATTTATCATGCGTCCCATGTCGTCCAATGTCAGTGTCTGCAGCTGCAACTGCTCTGTATAAATCTTTACTTTGGCAGCCTGCTGCACCATGTCTCCTTAGTAATCTCAGCACCGCCAGGAGATGCACATTCACTCTGACAAGCTTTCACAGTCTCTGTGTACAAATTTTGGTTTGTTGCCTTTCTGACATAAATGTGTAGAGAAATAAATCAGATTCAGTGATTTGTCGAGTGGAGTTGTTTTCTGGTAAACAACTTGTTTGCATGGAAAGATTGTTTGTTGCATTTAGAAGAAAGAACAGCGCAGCTCCTCGTCTTGCTCTTAGTGAACACGACAGCCAAGTCTTTGTTTGAGTTGGCCAGAGGAAGTGGATTGTTGTATGTGTTAGTGGTTGATTTGAAACTCTGTAATCAGGAGTGAAGATGGTCTGCAGCTCGAGGTGTCTTCTAGAGCTCCATGGGGAATTACTGAGGCGGTACCCAGCTGTTGCTTTGTCTTCTTTCTTTACCCTTTTAGCACTTCCACTGCAGTGTTGAAGCTGGCCGTGGGAAAAAAAAAAAAACCACACAACAACTTATCAAGCCTGGTATCTGTTTGGATTAGATGACCACTCCATTTCTCAGCCTTAAATTGGCCATTTTCTAGGTTTCTCACTACCATCAACCCAGAAATCCAACTCAATCCAACAAGTCCTTACTAGATACAGAACAAATCACACCAGCATTCTCTGTTAGACAATAATGCATATTGATATTATTTATGAGTGTTATCACTTAAAGGGAATTTATTTTGCCTTTGCACACAGTTTGCACAATTTCTAAGAATAGTAGCAATGGCAATACAAACGTATTGTGGCCAATATTTGAATTATAGATAATTTCACACTTGTTGCCCAGTGCTCAGTCTACACATAATTTTGGGAGAATTCTTCATAAGGCAGAGATGAATCAGTAAGTGTAAAGATCCTGATGGATTGTAATAGCCTTGGCTGCTCTCACACATAGACTAATTAATTATTGCAATGTTACCCCTCCCCTGCTGTCCCCTATTATGCCCTTCATTTTTATCACTATAAAAAGATGATGGTAATAAACCCAAACTTGAACTTATTCAGTGAGCTACACTGCAGGAAGAGTTTGGAATAAATAGGTATGGTTTAAGTCAGTTTGATTAACCCCATCAGACACTTAGTGTGTTATCTCCGTTTGCTGATAACTGCCACATGTAAGTGCCCATGTGGAGGCCAGCCCCTCGGTCAGCCCCACCACCTCTCCTCTCCCCTCTGTCTTCACGTGTCTCCTTGCCAGGCAAGACGGCCGCATGACAGATCACCTGAGATGGAGGCCCACCGTGTTCCTGCCCGGCGGTCCGGCCCCCTCTCATTAATGCCCAGGCTGGTGCGAGGGTCTTATGGCAGCACAAGACAAATAACGCCACTACTCAGCCATCACTTCTGCTGACAGAAATGCAGCCCACCGCACTATTTCGCCCTCTCCAGCTCCACTCCGTACCTTGCTCGCGTCCTTCAAAAACCCCCCATCTCCTCTGTCTCCACCTGCACCTGCCTGCGCTGCTCCACCAAACTTTCATGGTGGCTTTTTTGCTATTGCTGGAGGCTGAAATTAACACTGAAACCTGCACAATTTGATGTAGCGCAATCACAAACCTGCAGCTTTTGTAACCACTCTGTTTCCTTTTTGGCTTCTTTGTGGAGAAAGGTTTGTGTTTTAGTAGCTCAGTCTGTCAGGTGCTTTTTGACTCGCTCGTGTGCAAACCTTATCACTGGGAGGTCTGATTTGAATGTTCTGGGGGTTTTTTTCAACTGTGTGTGTGTGTGTGAGAGAGAGAGAGAGAGAGCGATAGAGAGAGAGAGAAACACAAAGGCTAATCATTAAAGAGCTATTCAGCCCTGTTCATTTAAGTGTGGGAATCAGCAGGCCCATTACTGTCAATGTGTAATTAGCTGATTAATAAACAGGGGGAAGGGGAGTGCTCCAGGAAGGCCTGTAATGATTGTTTTTAGAGAGCATCGCATGAGAGCTTATTAAGATGGTAAGATGGTTCCATTCAACCTCCCATTATCACCCACACTAAATGCATGTACTGTAATTCTGCTACTGACAGAAAACCTTTGTGTTTCTAATGTCTTTACTGACCTTGATGTAAAACCAGTATGTGGAGGCATTCTGGCCAAATGAAACTAAATCAAATGATTTAGTTTAATTTGAGTTGATTAATAACAATTCTGTTGTAGTGTACACATTAATATACAGTCATTTTAATTAGATGTCTGAATGCTGTTATTTATCTACAGCCACAATTATTTATTTAGTTATTCATATACCTTGTGACCCTTTGGAGGTGGCTGGTAATGTTAGTTTATTTATTTGCATTCCCATTAGCCACTACCAAGGCAGTGGCTACTCTTCCTGGGGTCCATATCTGGACTAAGCTACTTAAAGCTGCAGTGTGTAATACCTAAAAGGATGTATTAGCAGAAACAGGCTATAATGTGCACAGTTATGTTTTCATTAATGTGTAATCACCAGAAAATAAAAATCCTTGCATTTTCTTTAGCTTAGAATGGGCCTTTTATATCTACATAGGAGTGGGCGCCCCATCATGGAGGGCGCCATGTTTTTTACAGTAAAAATTAAATGCTGCTTATGATAATGATAATATTATATATAATAGTGCAGTATATCAGTCACAGCATAGGTGCCATTTTTCTGCAGAATGAGTATGTATATTCATAAAACGATCATTTGCTTGCAAATACTTCTGAAGTTTCACCAAAACAGAATTGTGAACTTTCACTTCCTGTTGCACTGGTACTTTCACATAAATAAAATATTTGAGTACTTCTTCCACCACTGTATCCAATAAGCTAAACATGAGAGACTTGAAGACCGAGTGCGATTTTCCTAAAATTAGTGCAGCATTGATTTTTTTTTATATTTAAAATGCTTAGTTTATTTAGATCCTTAATGTGACCTTAACCTACAGTAGGATAGAAGCTAGTATCTGGTTTGCCTTGTGCATGTTAACATGCTGAAACTAAGCCCTTTCTTTGTATCTTTGAAATATGAAAACCCTTGAATTTGGATCGTGACCTTTGACTATGTTTAACCTGAGTGTTTGGGTTGAACCTCAGCAATGGTTAGTCATCGTTCCCTCAAGAAATATTAATCAATTATCTTGCCCGCTGGATCAGTTTGGGGAAGAAGTCATCTGGAAAGAGGCACAAGCAGATATAATGGGAATGAGCAAAAGCACATGCCAGTGAATGCTGTAATGCCTAATCCTCTGAGACAGCCCAGAGCCACAATGTCACTTCTAGTTCCCTTGTCCTCTGCTCCGGGACTGCCTCACAAATGTCTTGTGTGACTGCCGCTAACTATTTTTGGGGAGATCAGGAAAGATTTATTTATCAGCGTAAAGTAAGAAAAGCAGGAAAGCATGTTAGGGAGCACAATTGTT